CTTGGCCTCCAGGCCCCACGCTGGGTGCCTGGAGCTCTGCAATCACTCACTTGGAATGGAGATTCCCATTGATAGTACTGGTCTTTCTCATACTAATACCTAAACCCACTCTTAGCGAAAGAAGTCCTAGCATATTTGGTCAATTCTCTGTGCGTTTTCATGAACACACAACTCTTGGGGGATGCTTCTACAACGGTCTGATAGGTTATTGCAGTAACATTATGCCCTGATCTCATCAACTGTTGCACAGCTAAAATAGATAAGTGTTTTTGACTAATGGCCAATCCATGGCCCTTGTGGTTGAACTTCTCAAGGAAAAGAGCCCAGGGTGATCAAATGGAAGACCCTTCTGTGAGCACATCCCAGGCTCATGGTGGTGGTGTGACTGCATGACTGAGGGTAAGGTTGTCACCTGCTGTGGGAGCGGCTGGAGAGGCCATGACTGTTGCAGGACTCAGAGTGGGTGGTGCAGTGGGCGTATGGTGCAGATCTGCAAGGAAATGAACAGAAGAAGAAAAGTGAATGAGTTTGTCACATTGAGGAGCGAGGGAGAAACTCTTTAGCAAAGACAGTTTCTTAACCAAATCTTTGCTTTAGGAATCCTCCTTTGAATTGATGCTTGCTTTTAAAATAAGAAAGTGAATCAAAGATTTATCTAGAAATGACCCTTTAAGATAACAAATAGTTCAAATAATTTGAACTAACCATTGTATAAGTTGAGAGGAAACTATGCATTCCTTGGAATAATTCCTCCTCAAACTACTCCTTTCCCTTTCAATTACAACTCTCCTTATTTTAATTACTAATAAGGATACTAGTTACTCTTTTGTACTATTCATTGCATACCAGGCTTTTTACATGAGTCCTCACATCCATTCTCTGAAATGATTATATCTATTTTTACGAAGAGAAAACTGACACACAGAAAGTATTAGTAACTTGTGCTAAAGTCAGCTAGAAAGTTTAAAAGACTGAATTTAGTTCAAAACCTATATATATGCCCAGAAAATGGGCATATTTCTTTTGCTTAATTTTTTGTCAATATGTGAAAATTCGTAAAACAAGAAAATTGCAAATAATATTTCATGTGAAATAAGAGCTGCATTAAATTCCAAGTTTCCATTTCTTCATCCATAACCTGAACCACCTCAAGCATCATAGTCAAACCTGAGGAGTTATCTTTGGTGGTGATGTTGGAGATGCGTGAAGGTAAGGCAGCAGAGCTGCTGTGTGCAGGGCTGAGGGTGGCTACTGGTGTCAAAGGTGTGTCTGCAGGGAAGGTGCTGGATGTAATCGTCTCTTCTGGAACACCTGCAATCAGAAAGGCCATCAGCACTGTCATCCATTCCTGCCACACAAGGGCACTGGCCAGTCAGCCAACATAGACAGGATTATCAAAGCTAAGGTTGAGCAACAATCCAGCCCTTCTGCTCTGCCACAATATACACATTCTGCAAAACTGCACAAAAACAGCAAAGTTCATGGGAGAGATAAGTTTAAGGGCAGACAATTCGAAACCTACGCAATTTTGTAACCAGAGCACAAATTTTTTAAGTATTTGGGACCTCGGGTGATAGCTTGGACAGCCCAGCGAGGCCACGCCTCCTGGCTGAAGGCTGCCTTAGGCGATATTGAAAATGCACCAAAGTGACAGAGTGCGGTGCTGGCTTGCTGATGCTGAGACCACAAAGATGGAAGTGGAGCTCTGAGTGTAGAAGGCTGTGTTAAGGTCAGCACAGGAGGAAGTGGACCCTGCCACATGCTGAGAGCCTCGCGTGGGGTGCGCCTCTCTGGGGAGGGATCCCTGGCTGCAGGTGCTTAGTTCTGATTGTCTTAAAATAGTGCTGCATGGGCTCCTGCCTGAGCAGCTGCTGAGCTCAGGGTTTTTTCCTTTCCAGCTGAAGTTTACAACTCTACTTTCACTATGTAGGCTCCCCTAGCCAGGAAAAAACAAAGTGGTTTGGAACTAAAGAACTTCCACCTTATACTGACAGCATTCCCTTATTCTCCAATCTTGTAGGAGCCAATCGGTGTAGAATCAAGTGTTGCAGCTGAAGAAACTGCACATTGAGTTTGGTTAGGACTTTTCAGTGTCGGGCTTCCAAGCACCTAATGTGAGTTCCATCTTCCCGCAGGCACCACACCCAGAATAACAGCACAGGCAATCAAGATTCATTCACTGGGTGCCTATGAGATGACTAGCAGGATGCTAGTTGTCATGGCAAAAGCAAAAGAAACACGAACCAGCCCCTGTTTCTGCTCGTTTGCTTATTTCACTGTCAAGATCCCTGGTGTCTGCAGTTCGATGATAGGAGGTTAGTCCTGCACCTAGAGTCCAATTCTCAGGGCTTCAGCAGCGTGCTGCCTGCACACATGTTCTGAAAATGGCTTTGATGCAAGCACGCAGGCATCCTCCGATTACAATGGGACTGCAGTCCCTCACTTCACACGTTTACGCCATTAGAACTGAAAATGCACCTTCCACAAATTTGAGTTTGGGTTCTCAGCTCAGCCTTCAAAAGCCACTAAACTCCCAAATTTAACTAAACTATCGAATGAATAACATAAACATCAGTTCTTCAGTTCTGGATCCTCAGAGGAGGCTCCAACACAACGAGGGGAAGAGTAGGAAGGGTTTCTTCTAGTCCTTTAAGAAAAGTTTTAGACACAGAATTGGCCCTGGGCAAAGTTTAAAAAACAGCCAGGTTTGTCATTAGCCTTCTTCCACATTCTTCTCGACTCCTCCTGTCACTAGCTCCTCCTCTTCGCCTCTTCCAAGTGCCCCCTGTCCCCATGCTGTTTTGAGCACTCCACACTCACTCTTCCCAAATTCCTGCCTTCCCTCTGCTTATGAACACCACTTTTCTCTGTGCAGGTAATCACAGTGCTGGCTTAGGAGCGGCATTTGCTACTTTAATTAGGTTAATTAATTCTAATGGATTTTTAATTAGTGGAATTAGCCACTGTGAGAGGAAGAATTCTTGATCAGGGCAAAGCAGACCTGTTTGTGTCTTCTTTAGTTATTTTACAGCTATTTCCATCCACCACTATCGAATCTGTGGATTTGCTGAAATCTCCACATCTTTTTACTGCGGTTCCTATGGCAGCTGGAATGGGAGAAGGAGGCAGGACGAGGAGGCAGCTCTGTCCCCAGCTGTTTCAAGTTTGTAGATTGCCTTAATGACTTATATGCCAAAATAACAGTTTTAATACTTCACAATAATAATTATTCTATTTGATATGTTTGTCTTCCATGTTTGATTCACACCTAAAGCAAGGCCAATTCAGCGCCAGCTCTGTGGGCTTCCCCATCCATATCTTCAACTCTCAGGCATTCAGGTCACTAAATTTATATATGGGGCTATGTAGATTTGTAACCTGAGAAACATACTGTTTTTCAGGATAAAAAGGGCACCATGAAGTGATTTAGACACTGATTTTGGAAAGACTATGATTTTTATAAATACAGAGATGCTAAGCTGAAAGAATCTTGATGTCTGAATGGGGAATATGAGCATCTATTTCTTCTTTCTCACTCTTTTAAAAAACAATTTAATCGTGGTTACAATTTCTCAGTGCCCTTCATTGACCATGGGAGTCATCTACTCGTCATTGTTTTGTTCATTGGTAGGAAGTCTTTAAGTAAAGATTCATGTATATTATTCTTTATTACTAGCAAAAAGAAGTTTTTGCTGGGCAATATTTGCCCAAAATATAAAGAAACATAGAGAACCCTGAATCACAGAGAACCCTGAATCACAGTTTCCTCCGAAACAGATTTTTCCTGTGTTCTCATAATGCTGGTTCTTTATTATTTCATCTCTATGATAAGGATCTTTGTTATGTGGCCTCATAGACTAAAGGTAACCATGAAAGTATGAAATTCCAGATTCATCAACCAGCAAGTGCTACACGGTGAACACTGGTTGGATTCCCTCACACTGCTCTTAAACACAGCAGTTGTCATGCACTCTTCATATCTGCACAAGACTTAAGGACCCGCCAACCTGGTGTGTCATTCCTGCCCGGAGCAGGGGTGCGTGGGAGAGCGGCAGCCTGGCTGCTGAGTGTCTGAGTGTCAGATCCGGCAGAGGACGCCTGCAAGGCTGCATGCGTGGAAAGGTGAGGCGTCGGTGATGTTGTGACACCTAAGGTGAGAAAGCGAGAGCATGTCATCAACATTTCCTCACTGCAGACGGAAAATCCAAATACTAGGAGGTTATAAGGAGAAAACTGCTATTATAGTTTAGCAAACTGCGAAATGACCCCATCTATTAACACGTGCATCTGCCCGTCTTTAAGTTCCCTGATGGGAAGGTGGCACCTGAGTTCTCCGTGTACATCCCAGGACGCTCCCTGGGCTGGATGCAGCCACGGACGACTCAGGCTTCCAGGTGGCTTTTTGGACTTCCAAGTCACTATGAGCTTTTTGAATTCTCCATCAACTCGCCAAACTGAAAGTTGGGACCTTTCTTTGTAAGCAGAATAAGAAAAGAATCCCCCAATATACAGGGTCTTACAAATCACAACGAAAAGAAGAAATAGAAAAATGGACAAGAGATGTAACACACATCCATCTAGTCCATACAGCGGCCAGAAAGTACACGCAAAGAAGTTCATCATTATGAAAAATGTTTAAATGTAAATCAAAATGAAATATTTCTAGCTATTATACTGGCAGAGTTTTAAAAGATTGTTAATATCCAGTGCCAGAAAAGATGTGGGTACACAGCTGCATGCTCACACACACACTCACAGAATCATATGCCTAGAGTCTTTAGGATATACAACCGCGGTTAAAATGGTATCTTTAAGGAGAAGGATTAGGGGAGATAGTATTTCATTGTGTGTTTCATTGTGTGTGTAAAGTACATATAAAGTATATATATATACTTTATATGTATATATTTTTATATGTATATTTTTTATAAATATTACATAATTACATTTAATGTTACACATGTGGATGCTTGTTGTAATCATTTTCAAAAAAAGAACAATTTTGAAATGGTGCATATTCTATTGTTAGAAAATGGATTAAAGGATTTTTTCACCTACATATATAAGCAAGAAAAATTTGATTGAATTCCACAATATAAATCAATCATAAACATAGATTAAATAACACATATAGGTTTTATCTCAGTAAATAACTGAAATATCACCTGATAGCAAGATTATTTTCTAGAAAATAAAATGTGCTTTTTTATTTGAAAGCACAAGAAACTTTCCAAGCTAATTTCACCATCAGTATTATTGCGCCAGAGCAAGTCAGTATTTTTAAATTATTCATCCTTATTTCCAGTCCACTCCATTTTAAACCTTTTTTCCTCCCATTTTGCTTCATATGTAAATCTCTGGCTTTAATGTTTCCAGGGGAAAAAATTGGTGACAATAAAAAGGTAGGAATGTTGTATGTATGTGTTTGTGTATACGAAGTGAAACGTGGAGCCTTTGAAATGGGAAACTTCGTGTGACATTACTCAGTCAGTAAAAAGGTTGAGCATGAAATGTTCTACCCAGCCATCCACACCCTCATCTTCACATTCTTTTTGTTAAAACTGCTGGAAAAGAATTCAAATGCTTGCAATGCTTAGATGGGTCCTAGCCACTACTCTGCTATGGCCGCAGGGAAAAGTGGAGTAAAGATTAAATACACAGTGCTGTACTCAATATAAGAAGGCACTGAACACTTATTTAACTGCTTAATACAGCCAATAAACTTCAGCAGTGTAGTACTCAAAACACTGCAGTGTACCAGAAACAAAATTTCTATGATGATGTTATATATGCTTGAGTTTCAAACTAAGATTAATGGCATTGTTAAACAAATTGCTTCGTTTCTTTAATGAGCATGTCTATAAACCGGTTTGCCTCAGAAAATGGCCACATAGCACACTATTTCAGAAAAGGCATAAACAACCCTCATTATAGTTGATTTACGTACCGAATACACTGGGAGACCCAACGTTAAACATAGAATGTGCACTAAGGAGCATCAGTGGTCTTCCCTGGCAAAAATACCCCCACATCACTGATATTTTGCTATGAACATGGCCACATTACCTTCAATTCCACCATTAGGACTCACAATCTTGATTAATTAATTTTTTTAAAATAATGCAAATATCCCTGGAAGAAATCCAAATAACAAAGCTGGCTTATTAATCCTCAGTGTGTTTTTTTAAAAAGTAAATGTTCTATCTCTAATAATTTTCTGATATTGAGAATCTGGAATTGAACAAAGAAAGATTCTGCTTTGGGGTACAGCCAGGGAGAACAAGACTGACAAAGCCCTGAAGTAGGGACTTGTGACCTGTCCAGGGCTACGGGGGACCTCAGTGAGCAGGCACCGGGAGGATGGCGCAGCGTGTGGAGCTCAGCGGAGAAACGGACTTCCCTCTCTCCCTCCCCCTCTCCCTCCCAACACTCACTCATTACTGTGGTCAGCCAGTATTTCATCAACACCTAGATGTCCCACATTTTATACACTCTAACAAAATCACATACATAGAAACTGAATACATGATGTAGTTAAAGAAAAACTATTCTAATAACTTTAGAATTAACCAAAAAAAGACAAGTTTTCCTAAACCCCATTTCAGGTAACATATCCGTGCCAACCTGTCAAAGCAGGAGCACTAGCATTATCCAGAGAGATCAGCAACACTTCAGCTGAGGTGCTGCCTGGGCTAGGAAGACGTGTGGTCTCTGAGGAGTCATTTCCTCTTTCAGAGATGCTTGTGGGTGAGAATGCAGTGGTGCGAGCGGGCGAGGGGTCACTTGGAGGCATACCAACGGCCTCTTCTGTTGCGTTCAGTCCTGTTATGTTTATGGGAGATGGAAGAAGGAAAAAATAAATATGTGAATCATATCCTGAGACGTATACTCATCTGAGTTTACTAACTCCCAGATCATTATGGTGTGTATATAAATATATATACATATACATGTGTGTACATACACACAGCACACACATATGCTATATGGTACATAAACGTGCACAGTGTGTGTATATATATTTGTAAATGCACATACGTATACACACGTCCATATATACCAATATAGACGTATACAGAGATACAGATATAATATATAGACTTAGATATAAAATGAGCTACAGAACAGTGGCTAAAGATAAAAATGGGGAAATGAAGTTGAAAGCCGCTGTACTCTGCCCTCTTCCCATTCAGTTACTGAATTATCAACTGTCCAAGGCAATTAGGTTCAGAAGGATGAAGCACAATGTATAAAGATGATTAAAAGAAATTGTATAAGACTTATCAATGAAGAAAAGAGTAAAGAAAGATAAAGTCAAAAGGGGATTATTAGGAGGGCTAGGGTTCCAGGAGAAAAAAAATAGAAGACAAAGGTTCTAGATAAACACTGAATTTTTTTTTACTAAATCAAACTCAAACAAAGCAGAGACTGGATAAAAGACTAGAAAACAAAATTCATAAACAGCTGTACAGATGATCCAAGGCTACCAAGATGTTTTCAACTTCATGATAACAAAAGAAACACAATCTGAGATATTGAGATCACATTTTCCGCAGTTTCAATTCACTTTAGAAAGAAGAAAAATGTGATGAGATGGTGGTGAAACAGGTACACGCACCCCTGACGTGAGCGCACAAATGGTAAAAGCTTCCGCAGAGCAGATTAGCACCATGCATTAAAGGCCTTTAAATTTTTTTCTGTTCTCTTACTCAGAAAGTGTATTTTTTAATAAAAGAATGAGAAAATACACCAAAATTGTTTTTTAAAAACCGAAAGCACATTGTAATCTCTGGATATTGGAATTATAGAGGTGTCTTTTTTATAAATTTTCTATGTTTAACATATATTTAGTTCTATGAATAGCAAAATTTATGTTCGATATTTAATGAAAAAAATGAGTTATATCACACAAGTGTTTTAATTAGTTCGGTTCAACAAGGTTAGGTAAGGGGGAAAGGTGCAAATACAGGAAGAGGAAGAGAATGGGAGAAACCAGAAAAGGAGTAGAGATGATAAGACAGGATAGAATTAGGAACTGAGTGGAAAGATCACTGACTAGGGAATTAAGAAAATGGAAATAGAAATGACACAAAGTCCTATCTTCATTGATTAACGTCGAAGGTAAAGTGAAATTAGTCTTTACTAACTACAGATAAAAACCCTCTGAACCACATTGAACTACCCCAGTGGCAGTGCACATGAAATACTGCAGGACTGTTCTGTGACGACAGAAAGCTGAAGGGATAGTACAGATGTTATATGTGTTATTTTCCAAAGGAAATTTTCCATCTCTAAAATTTCATAACCTAATAACTCACAGATAAATATTTTTACTAACAAACTTCCACCCATAATTACATGCCAACCTATCCTATTAAGTAAGAAGCAAGTAGCTACTTCTTGTCTCCAGTGTGAAATCATAAATCTAAATTTAGTATTGTCTCATCTGCTATATGTTGAATAAAAGGAGAGGAGGAGGGAAAGGGAAAAGACAGGAGGAAGAGAGGGAAGAAGGAGGGGAAAAAGAAGATGGAAGGGGGGAGGGAGGAGCTTAAAATTCTGTCCAATAATCATCAATTCACTTTCATCATTATAGCCTTGCCAACATTAGTCTGTTGTTTTTGGGTTAAACTAACATTGGTGTTGGCAGAGTTCCAATGATCTCTTTTGCTTTGAGAGAAATGTTTGCAACATTCTCCCTTTATTACCCACTCCCACTCTTTTGTTAGATTTGAATCACAAAGAGACTAGAAGGAAAATCACTCCAAATACCTCACACAAGAGTGCTATATACTATTTTGGGGAGTAACATTCCTAAAGATTACTTCTGGTCCAGCAAATTCAGTCCAGGGTGTGTGAAGACAGGGTATTTGGAGAGCTACCCTCCGACCTAGAAGCCTTAATATCCTTGCACAAATCTTAATCTCGGTGCACATTCTCTAGTTTCATAATTAAGAATTTAATTTAGGATTAGAAAACGTATTTCCATTGTCGATTCTACATTGTCCCTATACCCCTACTTTGGAGACACTACTGGTTTCCGCAGATTATATTCATGTTGGCAATATTTGGGAGAGACCATTTGCATTTGCATTTTGAGTCACTGTTTTAACTTACCTGGTTTTATCATTTGGAGGCTTGTTACAATAGAGTTAATGCAGAGATAATGAACACTCTCAATAAGGTGATGAGTCAGCTACGATGTTAAACATTCACTCCCCAATTCACCCCAATCCCATCCCCCTCCTGCAAAAATAACCAGTTCATATGGTAGAGACGAACTCACTCTTCTGCAAAAAATGGAGGTGCTAAGTTGCTTGTGAGTAGGTGGTATAAACCAATCACAATTTGCTATGCATTAATGACTTTCATATATTTATAAATGGCACACTATAAAACTACAAAATTCTAATATTAGATCTTTTAAAAAATAAGAGAATATGCTTCTTATGCAGATTCAGGAGCATATTGTTAAGATTTGCATAGTTCTTTGCTTCCATAGTTTGGAATGAATTTCCATTTAATTACAAAAATAATTCCTGTAATAACCCAATTCTCAGAACATTTCAAATTTGCCTTATTAGAACTGTGCATTATAACTATTAAATCAGAATTGTCTAAATAGCTTTACTTACGTTCTTAATGTTTACTGTTAACCAAATGATTAATCAGGAAATCAACAGTACATTTTCAACAACAATAACATTTAAGTGATATAATTTATTTTTAACCTGATGCAATCTATTTTTTCCCTTATTTGCATTAATATATATGAATTTAATTTCTGCATTTTCATTTCTTAAATTTAATTTGTCCAGGATTAGGACACTTGTTAAGACTATTAATTCAGTTGTGACAGTAGAATTTGGAAATGATTATTACAAAATATCTTAATAGTCTCAAAGTTTTTCTCTTGGAGCAATATATATATATAGTAATATTTATAAATATACAATATATATAAATATGTGTAAATATATTTATATAAATACATATTTAAATAATATAGAAATATTATTAAATAATATATTAAATATAAATATATTTAATGTAAATATATATAGTTATATTTAGAATTCTAATTTCTCAGATAATTCCTTAACCCATTTTTGAACTCTAAAGTTTTGTGATCTAATTTACATTGACTTATTTGTAATGTTAAAATTTTAAAAGAAATAGGAATCCTGCCATGTGATTTACAGTCAAGTTTAAGAGTAGCTATAATTTATAGACAATAATACATACACAAATAATAATATGTTCAGGTAATTATCAAACTTTTATCTTATAAACAGTAATATTAAGAACAAGAGAATGTCAAGAACCATTCATGATTATAAGGTTTGCCTTCTCAAAATGATTTCACTAGATAATAATAGAAAATTCTATCAACATTAAATATATAAACTTTGCAACAAATTAATAAAATAAGTAAAATGCAAACATTAATTCTTACCAGGAGAGGGAGAATTTTGGGCTTGTCCTGCAAAAAGAAAAACAAACATCTCTTAGAAAGTTTCAAATTTCCTACATACGTATGTAAATATAAGTTAGATTTATGTATACACATCATATCTATGTTAGTTAACATTCACAAAATGGCCATTTTCAGTACATTTTACCCTAATGAAACTATATTCCTCCTCTTAATGTTATATTTACAAAGCCCAAGTGTGTTGAAACTATGCTATTGGTTTTTGAATTCCCAGATAAAATAAGAAAAATAATAGAACAAAGGAGAGCTATTGGAATTAATTTCCAGCCTGCAAAAGACTTTGGAAAGTTTTCCCAAATGCATTCATTTATTTAAAAAATGATTGTTTATTGGGTACCCACTATGTGCTAGACATTATGCCATATTCTAGGGATGTAATATGATCAAGATATAGAAATTCCCTGCCCCCAGTGAGCCCAGCTCAGTGTGAGATATAGACAAAATAAATAAATAAATAAATAAGCCATAGAGTGTGATGCCAGAATGTGCTGTAGAAGCACATAAAAGGACCACCTGATTTAGACTTCCAGGATGGTGGCTGGCCGATGGAGGACGTGGTAGAAAGGGTTTCTTGGATACATTTAAGCTGTGACCTAAAGGATTATGGACAGCCAGCTTAGTTCTAGAGGAACAAGAAGTTCGGATTTAGCCTGCAGCTTTAGACAGTGATTGGAGCGAGGTGTTTAAGGGGAGGTCTGGTAGAGAAGCATTTCAATTTTAGATCACCCTTGTTGTGAAATAGAAAAAAGATTATGAGAAGGCTAAGCTGCAGACAGGAAGACTGGGCAACTAAAAGGAAAGCGTATGAGAGCAATGACATCCTACATGAGGAAAATAGTACCAAAAAAAAAAAAAAAGTCCATGAAGCACTTAGGAAGTAGTTATCAAGACTCTGTAAATGTTTGGAAGTGAGGAAGGTGGAGAATGAGTAATAAATAAGGAAAATATTCAAGTTGATAGTTACACTGCTAGTAAGTTGCAGTAGATAGATTGTGGGAGCTTTCAGCAGCAGAAGAAAGAAAAGCAGATGAGAGAGGAGAAATTGATATGCTTGAGACATCCGTGTAAAAATGTTCAGTGGCATTTGGCTGTAGCGGTTGGTAGCTCAGGATATCCATCTAGGCTGAAGCTATAGATCAGCATATAGATGGAGATTGCAGCTATGGAGGTGAAGGAGAATCCCCAAGTTATAAAAAAGAGGAGCGCCCAGGATAGAACTCTGAAGTTAAATAAATATTTAAGGAGAGCGCCAGCAAAGGTGACCTAATTTTCTACAGAGGAGGGAAGCTGAAGTCCACAAGAGTTAAGAGTAGAGGGTGTTTCAAGAAGGAAATGATTGAGTCACATAAGATGAGGACTAACACGGGTCAATTGGATTTATCATCTGGCTCTGTGGGATGTTGGAAAGGCCACTTTTATTGGTGTGAGAGGAGCTGGATTCCAGTGGAGTGAGACATATTTTCACCCCCCATCTTAGTAAATGACTATTAAAAAGATCATAAAGTTCTTTCCCAAATGACAGGCAAATGATGTTGTGAAAGGGAATCAAGCTCAGATGGAAGAATGGCTAGTATCTAAGGTAGCTTCCTGCCTTGAGATCTTATTTTCTGAGGACAAACTAATCTGAAAAAATTTTCTCCCTTCAGAGGCTCCATCAGAGGCATATGAGCCAGTATTCTTCAACGACATTTCTTGGTTTATTCCTTGAAATAAAATGTATTATTTGTATTATTATATAATATGTAAATGTGTGTAATTATTAAAATATGTATAAAATATTTTTATATTTTCTTATTTTAATTCTCTACTTTTTCTTAATCATTCAACCTTAAGTATTGTTTTTAATTTACATTATTTGCATCTTTGTCCCTCCTCTTGTTTAGTCAGTTTTTATCTTTCTAGCCCATATAAAATAACATTTTTACTTTGTATTTTATTTTTAGTTTTCTGTTACTAGTTTTCCCTCTCCTCTCATTTATTCTTATTTCCTGCTAAATTAACTTCTTAGACTTGTGGTGATTTGCAAAAGAAGTAATAAGAAAAATAAAATACTAGTATAGCAGTAACTAACAGCTCTTGTCTCTTAAGTGAAAGGAAAAAAACCCTCATGGTAATTGTTTGGTAAATAATTTAGCATATTGTCACATTCAAAATCTTCAAGTTGGTTTGAGTGTACGAACACATTTCATATAATACACTCTCCTCTTTATCTGAGAAATATACAAGCTTTTAAATATCTAAAAGTATTTTGATATGCCTTTTCTCAATATAAACATCAAATTCCTTGGAACTTTGAACAAGTCAATTCGATTCAGTTAGATTCAAGAAATATTTACTGGTTTGCTGGCATACTACTAGGTGCTAGGTTTGAACATTATAAAGGCATGGTCCTTTGCCCTGGAAAAGCTTATATAACCCATAAGATAGATATTTTATATATATATATATATATATATATATATAATCTCCAGTGGTCTGCAAAGACATTTAAGTCATAGATATACCTGATTACAACCAATAATTAAAATTCCTTCCATCTGAGATCAGCAAGAATCACATAACAAAATGAGGAGGAGGAGGAAGAGAGGCAGCTGCAGATCTTGCATATAAGTGGTCGATAAGTAATTGTTGAATGATGCTGAGCATGAGTAAATGAAGGGAGAACTCAGACAGACCTGATGACACAGCTTTGGGAGAAGAGCCAAGAGCAAGCTTTATAGACCATGACAAGGAGATGGAATTTTTTCCTGTGCATGATGGAAACCACTGGATCAATGAATATAGAGGAGAAATCAAACAGTAGATTTGATGACAGAGAAAAGAGGACTCTCAATGTTACCTGTACCAGCTCCATCATTAATTCCACAGACCACTGTACTCTACTGTTCTGATTTATTAGCTTGTTGCCACCAAAATATGTAGCACAAATGTTATAGATCATTTTATAAAAAGAATTATAATTTGTCACATATTTACCATGGAAATGAAAAAAGGAATGCTGAGACAGTAAGGACACTATTTCTTTTTAATATAATAACTATGAATACTAGAGTAAACATGCTAGAAATGTTTCCAACCAGTAGACTATTCGTTGGGCCACAGCCATATTTAATGCCTCAGAGATATCAATTTAATTCCAATTGGTTCAAAAGCACTGAAGTTTTTTAAAGGAAATATATGATGCACAGTATTTTAATCTAAGTTTTGAAAAGGAGGGCAAGGTAAATTACCAAAATGGAGAAGACAATTTCTAGAGATTTATCTTTTTTAAAGAATAATTCAGAAATGATATTTTATCATTAATTGCTAATATTTATTGAGTGTTTCCTGGGTGCCAGACACTATATTAAGCCCTCTGCTTGTATTTTCTCTCTTAAGCATCACAGCAACCCTAAGGAGCTTAAAGAAGTCAAGTGTCTTGGCCAAGTTCACAAAACTAGTATGAGCTAGCCCAGGCTTGAGCCCGAGGCTGTCTGACTCTGCAGGCCATGTTCCCAACCCTCAGGCATCCGCTTTCCTCATTAACTTGTTCCCATTGCCTTGCCTCTCCATCTCACCGCTCACTGTGGAAATTCTTTTGGCCAGTGTTTTGGGTTTCATAGAGATTGGTGTTTATTAAAAGCTCATAAGCTAAG